AAAAAAAAAAAAAAAAATTCAGAATTCTGTAATACACTTGACCCAAGGGTTTCGTTAAAGATGTATGTACTGATAGTAGTCTGATTATGTGAGGCTTAAAAACAGTGATTAAATTTGACTCTCTAACTATCCATAGGTATGTGTGCCAGAGTGAGTTGTCACCTCTCCCAGCTTCCTCTCTTTAGGATCTTCCTCTTGTGACTCTGGCATTTTAGGGGAACCCCTAATCACCCTAGTCTCCTCTGGTTCATTGCCCAGGTTGGAATGATCCAGCTGAGCTGCAACTTCTACTCCAGAGAAGTAACAACATAGTGCCTACAAATACATTTCTAGGAGAATAGTGCTGTTTTGATTTTGATACTGTAATTGGCAGGCTGTTGTACGGGGTCAGGAATTGAAGCCCACAAGATTGAGTTAGAATCTTGACTCTTTCATGTATTAGACTGTCTTTGGGCATGTCATTTAATCTTTGTAATCCTCAGTAGTGAGCCTTCGGCCAGAAAAGAACACGATAATATTACTTACCTCATAGGATTAAAATATAGAGGATTTAGCTAAGTACTTGGCTAAGAACACACATGGTAAAAGTTATAATTATTTTGTAACTATAACTGGATTAATTGGAAAAACAGAAAAGTTGCAAAGCACCTTTTCCTGAGTTTGGCTTATGCCCTCAGAGGCAGATTCTGATCATTTATTAGTGGGTTAATGTAATACCCAACCTTAGTTATGCATGAAAAGTCTCTAAACAACTATGAGTTTCCAGAAATTGTTTGCAGAATTTTATGGATATTGTCCTTGAGGGAATATCTATAAATTTCATTTAACTTAAGGAGATTCATGTTCCCCCAATGGTTAAGAACCAATGTCCTAAATGTACCCCATTCCAGCATATTTGAAGGATTGTGAATGAGATAGTGATGTTCTGATCTATTAAGGTTTCCCTTAATAGAGGAATAGAGCTGAGCCATTTCTTCACTGTCTGGTTTGTGGAACTGGCTTGGGTACATGACATGAAAACTGTTTGAACCGATGGAACTGCAGTCAACAAAGTCTGTGAACAAATCCCAAGGTGATGTCAGTGATCTAGGGGTGCACACAGGAAGAAAAAATCCATGTGAAGATATCAGAGCCTAGGCTTTGACCTGAGCCTAAAGACTGAGCTCATTCATTGACCTGCCCTAAGAAGCCTTACAGCAAATGTGAAGTGCCCTATGGCCCTGGGAAAATGCTTGCATTCCTGCCCCCACTCCCATGAATGTACTGAATAGCCAAAAAGTAGAAAACAATATTTGAAACATCTTATCTTGACAAACAGCTTGCTTGGAGCAATACTCTTCAACTCTCTAAAACAGAGAAAATATCCGGCTTTCCTCTTGGCTGCATGACTTGGAACTGCTGTCACTTAAAAAGTTTGGCTCGTGAGACAGTAACAGCTGCATCAGGGACAAACTCCAGTTCACATCAGGAATATGGAAACAAGCTAGACCAAGGTGGCTGGTACAATGTGTGGGCACATGGTATGTGAGTCATGGGAGGGACTCATGGGACCTTCTCTTGGCAGGATCAGCTGCAAAAAGAGTGTAAACACACCCTCTCCAAGCTCACCTGTCAAGCAAAAGCTGTTGCTGGAAAAATACCAGGGATTTTACAGCAGGCGACCAAAGGACCCTGATTGTCCTAATGCAGGGCGGATTAAAGACCCAGCCCTGCTACAAGTCAGAATATCATTTCAATGACATTATCCCTCATGGATTAAAAGTCTCATGTGAAGAGTCACTTAAGAATTTAGAGTCTGGACTTTGGTGTTGAACACATCACAGCTGCTGCCAAAGATGCAGTGACTTCCTCAGTCAAGATCCTTCCTCTCCAAAGCATCTGTCTCCTTGGCCATCAAATGGGGACCAGGGAAGCGCCTGCCTCAGGGATTTGTTGTGAGGATGATATGAGTTAATACTTTTAGACTAGCTGGAATAGGGTCTATCACATAAGCAGTGTCAGACAAACATTAGCTCTTATTATTCGAAAGGACTGTGATAGGAAACACGTGCCGATAAACACACAAAGAAGGCAAAAAAAAAAAAGAATTTAGAGTCTGAGATCGATGTGAATACTGGTAAGTTCTAGGTACTTAATGACTTCTCTGGAGGCTGACCTATAATTATGAGTAAGTTCATATTTCTCAGGTTCCTCTCCATAAATAATGAAAGGTAAAATTTCAGAGAGAAAGGCAATTTAGTTCTCAAGAAGGGAGAAAGTGTTCCAGCTGGAGGATACTAAAATAAAATGACTTGTAACTTACTGTAGGTACAGCAAACAATATAATAACACCTCAGCCCTATTTCTGGACTACCAGAAATGGAATTGTTCCTGTTTCAGAATAGTTCTGTGGCCTAAGAAGAGATCAGAATACATGGAATAACATAGCAAACATGTACAGGGAAACCATAGAGCCAGCTTTTAATTATCTATGATAATGTGAGGCTCCTGCCTCTAAGTTTGAGTCTCTGAAATGTGGTGATGATTCCAACAGCATGTTTTAGACATCCGCATTAATATTTTTTCCTGGCCACTGGAAATGGGGCTTCCCCTCTCTGTCTTTACTCACTTTGTGATATCAGAACTAGCCAGACATGTCCAGGAAGCCTAGATAACCACAAAGGAGAGAAACAGGCTCCTGAGGATCAAGAGATAGCTCGACCAGGCTCTATTGTCTAGAGGTGAATTGTAACAATACCTTCCTGGAGAGTCTCCATTCTCATCAAATAGGATCATGTCTCCAGAAACCCCAGTAAAATTGGTTTTCATCAGGGAGTCCAAAAGTTTCCGTCCATCGATTGGCTTCATGGCATCACAGAGGCCCGCATATCCTGGACAGAGGGACATCTGCATGTTGTGGAGCCCATAGGCCATGGAATAGATCGCATTGATCACAAATCCCATTTTGGAGTCTTGAACATGATGTGTTCTCAGAGTCAGAGAACCTGTTGGAAAACAAATTAGGGATTAACTTTGAAATTTATTTCTACTATAGCTATCTCTATGGATTCTGAATAATTTGAGAGTGCACTGGAACAATTGATCAGAGTTAAAACCAGAGGAAATACTAAGGACAGATGCCAAAATAGTATGCCTAATAATTGTCGTCTATACCCAGTTTTTTTCCCCAAGACCTAAAAGACAGAGCTGAATCCTCACCAGTACCAAGATTCACTTCCTCTATTACCACACTCTAGGGATAAATGCAGGATAGCACTCCATTTCTGTACCACAAGATTTATCTTAAGGACAGATTAATCTCCCACGTATTCAGCTGTGATAATATACCTCCTTGGTTTAGATATCCTCCAAAAATCTCTAGTTTCCAAAAAAAAAAATAAAAAACTCCAGTTTCCAAATTATTAAGTCTTAGTTGAGCAAAGTAGATCCCCTACCATCTTGCCTCAACTTATCTATTGGGATTTATCACCCATCATTTCCTACCTCAAAGCATATGTGCCCTATAAACGGACCTATTTGGAAATTCTGAAATATAATATTTAAGCCCTATTAATTCATTCATTAATTAAATAAAATTTATTGGAGTCTGAGTATACATAAAGCTCTGTGTATGATGATCTAGGGAAAGTACAAAGGTGAACTGGACATGGATTCTGCACTTAAGAGGAAACATGTTCAGTAATAGAGAGAAATTATGTAGCTACATTAAAGGTAGAAGGTGATAAATCTGTAATAGATGTGGAGTTAAAATCTATAGAGGCCCAAAGAGGGAGTGATCCCTTTCAGTGGAGGCCCAGAGAGGAAGCCATCTCTTCCAGTGAAGGGCTCTTGGGAATGTTTCATTAAAGAACTAACATTTGGTATGAGTTACTGATTAAACAAATATGGAATGAGTGCCTGTTAGTTCTGACTGCTCAGAACTTGCTGGAAGTGTGGGATATAATGTAGAATAAGATAGACATGATTATTGTTCTTGTTTACTTAGAGTCTAGAGGGCAGAAGGGCATTTAAGCAGGCTAGGTGCTAGGGCAGGACTGAATAGGGAGGGGCACTAGGCCAAGAAACTCACTGAAGCTGAGCATTTTGGTTGAGTATCAGCTGGATGAAGAGTGGAGGAAAGCATGTTTGAAGGTTCATAGATGAGGTAGAGCAAACTATGTTTAGGAAACTTTAAGAAGGTTGGAATGTTTGCAACATGGGGTAGGAGGCAGGAGAATGGGTAGAACTGAAGTAGTAGAGGAAGGCAGGATTGCATTGGCCAGATTAATATCACTGTACTTTATCATAAGCACTGGGATCCTTTGTAGTGCTTAAAATAGGAAGGAACACGATCAGATTTGTGTTTTAGAAAGATCAATCTGGGTACACTGGAGAAAGATTTAAAGGGCTATAGGAGTCGAATTATGAAGACCCATCAAGTGGTAATGCAATGATCCCAGCGATAGGTGAAAATGGCTTTGCTGAGGGTAGAGGCCAAGATTATGGACAGAAGTGTTTAGGAGGTGGAATCTACTACCAGGCCTGGTGATTGAGGAATGGAGAGGACTGAAACATACAGGAAGAGCATGCGTATAAGGTAAAGGTAACAGCTGAGCTAAGGAAAGAGCATGCCATTTGGGGAGAAGTTTTTTAAAGAGAGAGAAATAGGAACTCTCCAAAGATGACATGATTTTTATGACTTTCAAACTGTAGAGGCATAGAGGCTCCTGGGGAAACCAGCATAAGTATAACATGGGAAATTTTGTTTCCATCTCAGGACTAGACACTGGCCCTAGGCCACTTTCCAACCAAATCTTACAATTTCCTTTTCTACACAGACTCTATTCACACTTCCACATTTCACCTCATACCACTAGAAACTCCATTCTTCCAGGTGTTAAGTCAAATACTTGGGAGTCACTTTTGACTTTTTTCTTTCCTTCATTCCCTGTTTACTCTTATTTGGTCTGTCTTCAGAATATCCAGAATTAAACTGTTTCACACAAATCTACTTCTACTAGGTTTAAGATATATCATCTGTCTGGATTACAGTGATAGTCTTTTAACTGGACTCTTTCTTTCTGCCTTAAACTATCCTCCACCCACTCCAGCCAATTTTTAATTCAATAGCCATAAAAATTCTCTTAAGAAAAGAGTTAGATTATGATACTCCTCTGCTCAAACTTTCTAGTGGCTCCGTTGTTACTGAAAGTAAAACCCAAATTCCCTGCCGTGTAGTTAAGGGATACACAAAATTAAAAGATGTAAAATGTGACATCAGAAACATAAAATGGTGGGGGGGTAGTGGTAGTAAAAGCATAAGGTTGTTAGAATGCATTCAAACTTATGAGATCATCAACTCAAAATAGTCATCTATAAATATAGGTTGTTATATATGAACCTCATGGTAACCACAAACCAAAAACCTATAATAGATACACACCAAAAAAGAGAAAGGAATCCAAACATAACACTAACAACAGTCATCAAATTATAAGACGAGAGAAAAAAAGTAAAAAGGAACAAAAAAGAACTACAAAACAACTCCAAGACAAAGAATAAAAAGGCAATAAGTGAATACCTATCAATTACTTTAAAAGTAAATGGACTAAATGCTCCAGTCAAAAGACATAGAGTGACTGAATGGATAGAAATACAAGACCTATCTATACACTGCCTATAAGAGACTCACTTTAGATCTAAAGACACACATGGAGTGAAAGTGAGGAGATGGAAAAAGGTATTCCATGCAAATGAAAACAAAAAGAAAGCTGGGGTAGCAATACTTATATCAGACAAAATAGACTTTAAAACAAAGTCTGTAAAAAGAGACAAAGAAGGACATTACCTAATGATAAAGGGATCAATCCAAGAGGAAGATATAACAATTGTAAATATATATGCTCACAAAATAGGAGGACCTAAATATATGAAGCAAGTACTAACAAACATAAAAGGAGAAATTGACAGTAATACAATAAATAGTAGAAGAGGGCTTTAACACTTAGATCAATGGACAGATCATCCAGACAGAAAATCTATAAGGAATTACTGGCCTTAGATGACATATTAGACCAGACAGACTTAATAGATAGATATATATGGAATATTCCACCCAAAAGCAACAGAATATGCATTCTTTTCAAGTGCACATAGAACATTCTCCAGGATAGAACACAGGCTAGGCCATAAAACAAGCCATAATAAATTTAATATTTATTAAATAAATAAATAAAATTCTGACTATATCAGTATGAGACTAGAAATTGACTACAAGAAAAAAACTACAAAAAATACAAACACTTGGAGACTAAAGATTATGATACTAAACAACCAATGGGTCACTGAAGAAGTCAAAAAAATACCTGGAAATAAGTGAAAATGTTAACACAATGATCCAAAATCTAAGGAACACAGCGAAAGCAGTTCTAAGAAGAAAGTTTATAGTGATACGGGCCTACCACAGGAAATTGGAAAAATATCAAATAAACAACCTAACCTCACACCTAAAGGAACTAGAAAATAAAAAGAACAAATGAAACCCAAAATTAGTAGAAGATATTGAAGATCAGAATGAAAATAAGTTAAATAGAGACTAAAAAAAAATAAGAAAGATCAATGAAACTAAGAGCTGGTTTTTGAAAAAAATAAACAAAATTGGTAAACCTTTAGCCAGACTTATCAAGAACAAAAGAGAAATGGCCCAAATAAATAAAATAAAATATGAATGAGTAGAAGTTATGACTGACACCACAGAAATACAAAGGACCATAAGAGATTACTATGAACAATTATATGGCAATAAAACGGACAAACTAGAAGAAATGGATAAATTCCTAGAAACATACAGCCTCCCAAGACCAAATCAGGACTAAGTAGAAAATATGAACAGATCAATTACTAGTAATGAAATTAAGTCAGTTGTTAAAAAAAAAAAAAACAAAAACCTCCCAACAAACAAAAGTCCAGGATCAGATGACTTCACAGGTGAATTCTACAAAACATTTAAAGGAGAGTTAACACCTATTCTTCTCAGAGTATTCCAAAAAATTTAAGAAGAAGGAACACTTCTGAACTCATTCTACGAGGGCAGCATCACCCTGATACCAAAAATAAAGACATCACACACAAAAAATTGCAGACCAATATCACTCATGAACATAGATGCAAAAATCCTCAACAGAACGTTAGTAAGTTGAATTCAGTAGTACATTAAAGGGATCATACACCATGATCCAGTGGGGTTTATCCTACAGATGCAAAGATGGTTCAGTATTCACAAAGCAATGAATGTGCTACACCACATTAACAAATTGAAGAATAAAAGTCATATGATTGTCTCCATAGATGCAGAAAAAGCTTTTGACAAAAGACAACGTCCATTAAACCCTCCACAAAGTGGTGTAGAGGGAATGTATCTCAACATAATAAAGGCCACATATGACAAACCCATAGCCAACATCATACTCAACAGTGAAAAGCTGAAAGCATTTCTTCTAAGATCAGGAAAAGGACAAGGATGCCCACTCTTGCCACTTTAATTCAACATCAAGTTGCAAATCCTAGCCACAGCAATCAGATAAGAAAAAGAAATAAAAGGAATCCAAACTGGAAAGGGAAAAGTAAAACTTTCACTGTTTGCAGATGACATAATACTATACATAGAAAACCCCAAAGACTCCACCAAAAAAAAAAATCTATTAGAAGTATTCAATGAATTCATTAAAGTTGTAGGATACAAAATTAGTATTCAGAAGTCTGTTGCATTTGTATATATTAGCAACAAATTATCAGAAAAAGAAATTAAGAAAACAAGCCCATTTAAAATCACATCATAAAGAATAAAATACTAGGAAGAAATCTAACCAAAGTGGTAAAAGATTTGTACTCAGAAAACTATAAGACATTGATGAAAGAAACTGAAGATGACACAAACCAAAGGAAAGATATACCCTCCTCAGGGATTGGAAGAATTAATATTGTTAAAATGACCATACTACTGAAG